CCAAGTCCTTTAGTTGCTTGGCATACTGAATCTTCTTCTTACCGCGGGATTTCTCATTTCTGAACTTGTACCTTTCACGCCCATGACTCTGTGGATTAACCTTTTGCTTCATGGTTAGGCCATTTAATGGTTGAGACCTCCCCTGATATAAGACAAGTCATATTCAGTAGTAAAGTATGTAATATTCAGTAGTAAAGTATGTAATATTTAATGCAAAAGTCAAGAATCCTCTGATTTGATGCTTAGCGGTTTCACTTGTTATGGATCGGGACAAGGCATGGTCTGCCGACTTGCACATTTTAGATAGTACTTTCATCCACTTCTCATACACTCCATCATCAGCAATAGACACTTTTGTGGCAAGCTTATTCAACATGACAGTGGTTTCTCTATATCTCAATGTTGTGGTGTTACCTGCGATGTTGGCAATGTATGGAGCCTCATCCGTCCTAGCACTTGTGGAGGATTCACTGACCTCTTTCTTCTTGGCATGTATGGTCCATCTCTTCAATATAAAATGTTCTGGCAGAGTTTTCATGGCGGCATTGTCGAAATTTCCAAGGTGGACCATCACCTTGAGGATGTGGCAACATATAATTCCCATGGAATTGAACAACCTACATTCCAACTGTGCATTTGCCACATCAACGAAAACAACACGTTCATCCCAACAGACGTCATTTTTTATGTAGAATGTTGTGTACCCAATAAATTCTTCGTCCCTACCATGAGTGCGGCTCCAATTCGTACTCTTCCCTTTGTTGATACTGTTCTTCCAACCTTCTATACATGTGAGGAGTGTAAATCTCAGCAGCTTGCTTGAGGATCCTGTTGAATGGCGAGGAGATGGCAGGAACCTGATCAATAGATTCAAAGTCAAGAATCCTCTCCTTGTATCTTTTATCCTCTACCAAACTGCAATTGGAAACATACAAATTAATATTCTCGACTACTACTAAGCATATTCAACAATATTGTATGTAGTATTTCCGAAAACAGTAACATCACACCTATTAAAATGTATGAAAAACTGATCCAACTGATGGTTTGGTTTTAGAAAATGTCGCACCGATGCAATGCAGGATTCATTGGCCTGAGTTGTCAACATACCAGCGGTGAGTTGACTTTTAAGCCAACATGAAGACCATTGTTTTCGGAAGCCTAGCAGATACTGCAACCACGGGTCGCCATCCACAAACTCACTGTCGGGGAAGCATTCACCAAGCATATCCTTCCATGCAATGTCGAATTCAGCCTCACTATCAACCGTGTAGAATAAGTAAGTGAGGTGAATGCTTATCTTTTTCCAAACATCTTTGTCCTTCTTAAAATGCTTCTTCGTATTCATTAAAATATGTCACGTACATAATGCATGGAAGACATCGGGCCACTCATTACGAAGTGCTTTGGCCATAGCAGCATCCTGATCGGTGAAGATGGTGGTTGGGAGCTTCTGATCCATGCAACGACGAAAGGCATCAAACAACCACTCGAAAGATGCACTAGTCTCGTCATACAACAAACACGCCCCAAATATGCAAGTCTGTTGGTGGTGATTGAAACCAACAAACATTCCTACATAACACATTTTGAAAAGTTCATTATTGTTACCGTCCATGGTAATATTCATCCATTCCAAACTAGTATTCAAAAAATTCGGACGAGTATTCATGTTATCATGACTATCACAAAATGTATTTGAATAGAAAATTATATGCAAACAACAGAAGAAAACACGTACCCAATGGGTGATAGGCTTTGTTCGTACAATAAGTTGTGTCGAAAGAGATCGAGTCACCAAACAATTTATAATCAGTCGCATCTGGGCATCTGACCAGAATATGTTAGCAACTTGCTCATCACAATCAACTTCCACGGAATAATAAAATCCAGATTTGATTTCCATTTGCTTCTGAAAGTACTCCAACAAAAAAGTTGCTTCACCACGTGCCATGTTCTTCTGTCTTCGCTTGTTCAGATGGTTCTTTTGGTCATTTTTCGAGAAGCTAAGATTTTCGTAACCACCAGCACACATAGCAAGTAGCTTGTAAGAAGAGCTCAAACTAACACCAGCATCCGCATTGGCTTCAACCATCAGACCTTCAGCCTCACTAACACTTTTGTTAGACCTCAAAAACTGCGCATGCTCCTTTGAGTGCAGTTCATGATTGTGTATATTGTTGAAAAGACTAACCACGAATGCATTCCTATCGACATCCCACCGAAAGGCAACACGATCTGTACACCCAACCCTTAACTCGTTTCTTTTTCTTTTACACTAGGTTTTAACAATGACACTATCCTTCGGTCGTTTCTTAATGACCTTTGGATTTCTAGTACTCACCTTCGAAAAGCATTGTTTGTTGCAACAATAGTAAATGTACCAATACTTTTCTCAAGCTCTCCCTTGTTGTTCTTGCGCAACCTCATGTGTTCGTTGTATACTCGAACACCAAAACCTTGGTCATGACCATATCTTGAATAGAAGCTCTTGCAATCATCTACTGTATTGAATTGCAAGTTCTTCCTTAAGCACTCATCTTCTAGTGCTGCATAGCTTGTCATTGGAATTGCACAAATGAATACAATTAGTCAAATCCAACCAATAAAAATATTCAATACAAGGTCAACTAATATTCTTTCACAAATGCATGTGTATTTCAAACGAGGTCACCTAGTATTCATTACAATCTCAATGAATATTCATACGAATGTCAATAAATATTCATTAGAATGTCAATAAATATTCATTACAATGCCAACAAATATTCATTACAATTTCATGAATATTCATTACAATGTCAATGAATATTGTAATAAAAAAAATATTCATTACAATGTCAACAAATATTCATTACAATTTCAACAAATATTAATTACAATTTCATGAATGTTCATTAGACTGTCAATGAATATTCATTACAATGTCAACGAATATTCATTGCAATGTCAATGAATATTTCTTAGAATGTCAATGAATATTCTTTTAAAGATAAATGCGTATTTATTAAAAGGTCCATTAATATTTTGAAGATGATGCATATTCTTAGAAGGTCCACGAATATTCTTCTACAGATGAATGCATATTCATTAAAAGGTCAGCAAATATTCTTCTAAAGATGAATGTGTATTCATTAGAATGTATATGAATATTCGTTAAAATATGAATGTATATTCATTAAAAGGTCAATAAATATTCTTTTGAAGATGAATGTGTATTCATTAGAAGGTCAACGAATATTCTTATAAAGATGAAGCGTATTTACGGGTAACTAATATTTTGTACCAACTAATATTATTTACCAACTAATATTCGATTACGTAAAAGTAATATTCATGAAATTTAAAAAATAATATGGTCATTACGGCTAACTAGTATTCATGCAAGCGATATTTATGTTTCTGTTCCTCCACCAGTGATATTCAGGATAGAACAAACAAGTATTCATGCAAGCACAGAACACCATGCAATGAAGAAACCCTAAAACATAATAAATGCAAGCACCATAAATGTAAACCCTAACACATTCAATGAGGATCAACAACCAAAACATATAAAAGTCTAAATAGATCTGTTTTTTTTTGTCTTCACATACCCTCTTCTATTTCATCAACTGCGGCCATCCACTCTTGTAAGCCCCACAAACTATCAGATGAACCATCCGCTTCGAGGATGGTATCAGCAAGGTCCACATCTTCTGGTTCGTCTCCTTCGACATAACCTTTATCGTTTCCAGTCGACAGATCTTCAAGGTGGACCTCCTCTTTTGGTGTGGCATCTCCTTCGACATCATCCCCCATCTTCGACACACTATCTTCCCTTCCTTGCATCTCCTTCTTCTCTTCGAAAGACCGATCTTGCATCAGACCGCTCCTTCCTGCGTTTTTCTCTGGATTCTCGTCTTCAATGGCGGCAAGGAGGACGAAGTGAAAAGATGAGGAAGAAGAAGAGAGCTGTGAGATTGAGAGAGAGAGGTTGGTAGGTGGATGGAATTAATGAAGCTAACTTTGGGGCTGGATTTTTCGACCTAAATCCCACCAAAACACCCAAAAATTTGTGCCCAGACCCTACCCATCTCTCACTCCTCGGCCCCACCAGTACCCTTAGCTCGGCTTCCCCACAGTTCAAGCTCGGCTCGTCTCCTTCCCCGAGCATGTGCCCCAGCCGATCAATCCTAGCCCTCCGTTGCTGGCTTTGGCGAATGGCCCTCCCCCTATGCTGTGAGTTGGTGCACACAGATCTGGGTGTGTGTACCATAGCGAAATTGATACCCCAACACACGAGTAGACAGAGGACGAAAATCAAGTGTACTATCATTGACATGTTCTTGAAACATTGGCAGGTCCATTTGCAAACATAACTCGTTGGTAGAATTCTGAATCAGAGACGTCAAACGTTCATATATATACTAGATACGAGCAATGCAGTAAAAAATCGTGATTTTATATACAACCGTTTTAGTGATCTAGAATGATTACGAATGGTTAGTTATCATTAATTTGTTATTAGTTTTTATTCTGTTTAAGCAGAGGATAAAGATGTTCCTCGTCAGCCAGCCCTACTTGATAAAAATAGATAATTCTGTATGGGCTAAATTACTAGTTTGGTCACTCAGATTATATAAATCTTTCACGTTTGCCACCCGAATTACTTTTCTTTCATATCTCCACTAATTTTACGAATTGTTTCATCGTTAATCACCGGCCGTCAGATTAAGTTAACTCCGTTAGTTATTTGATGACGTGGCAAACAGAATTCTGATCTGTCAGTTTAATGACAAGTCAATTGAAAAATATTAAAAAATAAAAATTAATGAATTAAAAGATGTTGTTCCAGTCGTTTTTGCCGATCAAATCTCCATCGTTGGTTCAATTGCCATCCATTCCACAGCTGCAGCAGCAGACTGTCGTCTCTGCTCGCGATTTAGCAAGCGACCAGTTCTTCATACGTACCGCAAGCTTGCCTTTGGCACTAAGGTCGAGACTCTCAATCCCGACAAATGCATCACCGTGTCCACCATCGATTCGCTCTCCGCCGCCAAGATCTTCATCGGCGGCATCGAGATCACTCGTCCAGATCTATTCAACAACGGATTTCTCATGATTCACGAAATCCAAGGCCAAGGAGAGGAAGAGGCGGTGACCTTCTGTGCAGATCTCAAGGTGGGAACAAGGTGAGAGAAAGAGAGGAGAGAGGGAATGGACCAGATCTGAAGGCGGCGAGACCCGACCACCGTGTCGAGGACGTACCACGCCGCTGCAGTCCTCCTTCGCAACGGAGGGTGCTCTTTTACGGGACTGGAGCTTCGACGGGGTGAGGCCGACGATGAAGATTCTTGCCTAATTCCATCACCTTAAGTAGACAACAATGAGAGAGACTTGTTGGCGCTCTTCAATTTTGGTTCTCTCAATCTAAAACAAAGCTGAAAAGGCTTGAATTTTCTATGGTAACGAATTGAATTTGAAAAGCCTTGGTGAATTGGAAGCTTTAACCTGATGCCACAGACTTTGGATTAGATTAGGGATGTTTTTTTTGTTATTTTATTATTTTAATTTTTTAAATTGACATATCATGAAATTAATGGTCCAGTTAGCAATTTCATTTACCACGTCATCAAATAACTGATGGAGTTAACGGATAATGACGATCGATGGCTAACGTGAAACAATTCGTAAAGTTAGTGGCATATATAAAAGAAAAGTAATGTGGGTGGCAAACGTGAAAGATTTATATAATTTGAGTGATCAAACTAGTAATTTAGCCGTTCTGTACGTATGTCGATCCCCCTAGCCATCTCTGGCATATTGTTTATTTTTGTTTTAAGTAGTAACGAACCAAAACAGAACGGTTGAACCCGCCGGCCGATCACCGCCTCCTGTAGTCCCATCCTCTACCTCAGCCGCCGGCTAATACTCGCCCACTTTCCGGTACGCTGCTTGCCTTTTCTCTCAGCTCTCTCCGCTTTTCGGTTTGCAACTAGCTTAATTTCAGCTCGGCCCATTGCAGTTCTAAAGAATTGGGTTTTGATGGAAGTCGGTGAAATCAGAGTTCGGTTCCCACATTATTGTGTTCCGCATCCTTTTAGCAAATACTATTTTCCCGCTTTAAGTCTGTATTCTTGACAAAGTTCGAGCTTTCATGCATGCCTGGCTAGAGTTTTCAGTGTTACATTGTTGTTGCAACAATTTCTGATTGTCTTGATGACTGCATGAGCCATGTATTGTGAGCTGGATGACAAGATTTAGATAGCAATGGCTGAATGGGTCTGCTTTGTTCTTAAAGAGTAAAATCCAGTAGCTGAATGCCATCAGGTTGTTCTCTTAAATCCTTGAATTCTTAATTTGAAGTCGAAAGAATGTTTTAGGTCAAGATCCTACAATTCCTACAAGATCCTTAAATCCCTCTCACAAGATTCTACAATTGCAGCAGGAACGTCAAAATTTCTAGCATTGAAATGCCAGATTTTGACAGCCTTAATTAACCGTCAAAATCCACCTGAGATATGTGAAGCTATTAGAAACTCTATCATGATAGAGAAGTTTCCTGGTAAAGCTATGTTCCCTTCAACAGATGGATTTTGGCTGATAACTAACCCCTATCTAAATTTGACATTCAAGTGCTAAGAACTTTGACATGGTAAACCATACTGTGGGAGCTGGCATTGCAGGGTTTATTGAATTGATTTTGCGACAAGCATTTGCCAAACAAGTACACTATGGTCAGGTGGAATTTATGAATTAACATCACTTAGCCAGTTTTATAAACTTGCTGCAGTCATTCCTCTGACTTTCCTTATGAAATTCTGAGTCAGATGTGGAATTATCTCAAGTTTAGCTAATTGATAGTTTTGAACTTAGAGTTGGTTTCTATTTTCTCCATTTTCTCTTCATTGTTCGTTTTCAGCCCTCAATTAAGCAGGGACTTAACTGGTTGAGAGGCTGGTTACAGCTTAGAAACCAACTATAAGTGAGACGCTGAACAGGAGATGAGTCATCATTAGCCACTATGCTTACGTGCTTCTTAAGATGCATCATCGTAGATTACAGCTCATCCAACATTTCTCGCCTAGCATCAGTGGGTTGTTCAAAGCTAGTAACTCAAGCACATGCTTAACACACACTCTCGCCATATCATCGCAGTGGGTAGATGAGACTAGAGTAAGCAGGCTTGAATCTGCTTCCAACAACTCTGTTCTGGAACTTCTAATCTCAGGCAAGGGAAACAAGTTCATGCCCAGTGCATATTCCATGGACTACTCGATAATGGGGTGCTGGGGCCAAAGATATTGGGGATGTACGTACTCTGTGACAGCTTCAGGGATGCTGTCAAAATGTTCTATCTGGTCCCGTTACATTATACCATGCCTTGGAATTGGATAATCAGGGGATTGAATAAACTGGGTCGCTTTGATTTGGCCTTACTGTTCTATTTCAAAATGTGGACTTGTGGGGTTTCTCCTGATAATTACACTTTCCCTTCTGTAGTGAAAACCTGTGGTGGGTTGAACAATGTGGCACTGGGTAAATTAATTCAAGATGATGTTTTTGACATGGGTTTTGATCTGGATATGTACATGGGTAGATCGTTAGTGAAGTTATATGCTGAGAATGGGCATCTGCAGGATGCTCGTGTACTGTTCGATAGAATGTCTCAGAAAGATTGTGTTCTGTGGAATGTGATGCTTGGCAGTTTCTCAAAATATGGGGAGTCGGGTAGTGCACTGAAAGCATTTAATGAGATGCGAAATTCGGGAATTAAACCCAATGCAGTTACGTTTGCTTGTGTTCTTTCTGTTTGCTCTGCAGATGCAATGATTCGATTTGGCTCTTCGATTCATGGGCTTGTTGTTACTTCTGGGTTACAGTATGATCCTCATGTTGCAAATACACTAGTCTCCATGTATTCTAAGTGTAGACGGTTGGCTGATGCACGTAAACTGTTTGATAAAATATCGCAGACTGATTTAGTTAAGTGGAATGGCATGATGGCTGGAATGGTGCAACATGGGCTTATGGAAGAGGCTTCAAATTTGTTTAGGGAGATGATATCTGCAGGTGTTAAACCAGATGAGCGGACGGTAGCAATTTTTCTTCCATCAGTAACGGACTCCATGAGTTTCTCATTTGGAAAGGAAATCCATGGCTATATAATTAGGCATGGTATAAGTTTGAACGTATTTTTAAAAAGTGCACTTATTGATATCTACTGTAAGAGTAGGAATATGGAGATGGCGTACAAGATTTATAGCCAAAGCAGCAGCATCGATTTGGTAATGTCCACGGCTATGATCTCGGGGTATGTGCTAAATGGCTATGCCAATAATGCTTTAGAAGTGTTTAGGTGGTTGCTTCAGGAGAAAATGAGTCCAAACTCCCTTACAATGGCAAGCGTCTGCCTGCATGTGCCGGGTTGGTGGCTCTGAAACTGGGCAAGGAATTGCATGGCAAAATCCTGAAGGATGGGCTAGTATTAGAAGGTAATGTTCATCTAGAAAGTGCTGTTATGGACATGTATGCAAAATGTGGAAGGCTGGATCTTGCTCACCAAATTTTCAGAAGAATGCGTGTAAAGGATGTTGTTTGTTGGAACTCCATCATCACTAGCTGTACCCAGAACTGTAAACCAGAAGAGGCCATAGAACTGTTCCGGCAAACAGGGAAGGAAGAAGGACTAACATATAACCAAGTGAGCATATCTGCTGCTTTATCAGCTTGCACAGACTTGTCCTCACTCCACTATGGGAAACAGATACACTCCATTTTAGTCAAGGGCACAGTTGCTTGTGATGTATTTGCCCAAAGTGCATTGGTAGACATGTATGCCAAATGTGGTCATTTGAAACTCGCTCGGTGCATGTTCGACAACATGGAAATTAAAAACGAGGTTTCATGGAATAGCATCATCGCTGCTTATGCTAACCACGGTTTCCTGGATGAGACACTCGCTTTGTTCCATGGGATGTTTGAACAAGGAATTCATCCTGATCATGTCACATTTCTTGCCGTAATATCTGCTTGTGCGCATGCTGGCCAAGTAGATGATGGAATTCGATACTTCCGTTACATGACGGAAGAATTTAAGTTCCCGGCTAAGATGCAACATTATGCTTGCTTAGTAGATATGTTTGGCCGTGCGGGTCAGTTGTATGAAGCATTTGGTGTCATAAAGAGTATGCCATTCCAACCTGATGCTGGTGTTTGGGGCACATTGCTTGGTGCCTCCCGCGTCCATGGCAATGTAGAGCTTGCTAAAGTGGCTTCAAGTTATCTGCTTGAGTTAGACCCAAGCAATTCTGGATACTACGTACTGCTTGCAAACGTTCATGCTGATGCCAGTCAGTGGAAAAGCATGCGTAAGATACGAACAATGATGAAAGAAAGAGGGGTTCAGAAACTACCCGGTTACAGCTGGGTTGACGTCAACAAAAGCACTCATATGTTTGTTGCTGGTGATGGAAGTCACCCCGAGTCTGCTGAGATATATTCATTGCTGGAGGATCTCCTTTTTCCAGAGCTGAGAAGAGAAGGCTATGTCCCTCAGCCTTACCTTCCTGCGCATCATTCCCAGGCTGTGAGCCTTTGATCCAGGTTTGTTTTAGCCAATGGTACATCAGGATTTAGAAATTCAGAATACAGTTGAATGTTAGCGTATTCATCAGGGTTAGAAATTAGAATACAGGTGAACAAAAATCTACAGATGGTCCAAAGTTTGCAACTTTTTTGCCGACTATTTACTGTAACACTGACGGATACTACCGCGGTCTAATATGCTGAGTATAGTGAATGATTGTCATTGGCTTTGAACTGCATTTGCTCGTGTGTTGGTGCTCTGATGATATGTGCTTTCCCAGAAACATGTAATGAAGCTGTGCTAAGGCATATTGAACAGTGTCGGAATTCATGTTTCTAGATCTTGTACAGCAGATTTAATGTGGAAGAAAGTGTACGGTCGTGTGTGGGTTCTGATACCAAATTGGACGACAAGGTTGGGCAATGGCCACATGAACCTCTACTGCCCACTTTATCCGAGCCTGCCTGCCGTATTTAATTCAGGCCCGTCCATAGCAGAGCATGTGCTGAACCAGAAGTTTGGCCATGGTAAAAAAGGACTGCAAGTCACTGGTATGGATAATGGTAGAGGAGCATTGGTGGAGCTTCTGGTTTTCAGTTTTTACACTTGCTTACATGTCACCATCATGTGCTGCAACTTACTCAGCTTATCCATATATCTGTTTGTGGCTGGACAGGATGCAGACAATAGATGGTGCTATACTGTTTGATATTAATTGTACTCCTTGAAATGGCCAATGGTGGATGTGAAAGGCCCGACGGCCCAAACCCAGTTGGCAGTTATTGCTCTCATTGTCGTATCCTATCCCCACCAGGCCACCACCATTGGAATTTTGCTCTCATGGGTCGAATTTTTTTGAACATGACTCTTGAATGAATGCCTACAACTAGTCCTTAGCAGTCTTGTTAAGCACACCCCAATTGAAAAACTGCAGTCCTCTGATACAAGAATTGTTATGAGATCATCTTCGTTGTCTGCTTGTTCTCTTCAGTCTGTCTGCAACCGGAATGAAAGTTAATACGGTCCGATTCAAAGTAAGGAAGGGCGTTACGCGTCATCTCGATCGTCGCCGCTGTTCTACTTTGTGGTATTCCAAGTCCAATTCGGTAGTGCATCCAAACCCCGTATGGTGCCTGCCGGCCGCTGTATGTTTGCAGCTTGCCATTGCCATTGGTGCTTCATTCCATCTTTTATGCGCAACAGAACAAAAGAAATATAATATCTCAGACAGCGACGAACTGACTGACTCGCCAGGAGGAGAGAATTCCCCCTTCACAAATACGTTGAGCCCACTAATAAAAATAACTGAGATGCGCGTCTTCTTGCCCAGAACCATAGTTTTGCGCCATTTTGTTTTATGTTCGGAATAGATTTACTTTGTGAAACCCAGAAGAAAGTATAATATTCTTTCAGCCGACTAATAACATGACTGTGTAGACTGTTGTCGGGATTTGCTGGATTGGAACCTAGTGAGCGAGTCTCATGTTTGGACAGCACACCGATGGTGATCCCTCGCACTCTGTTTGACAACGAGCAGGGTGCAAATTCGAAGAGGGTGCAAATTGAGCAGTATATGATAGGGGAGCAAATTTAATAGAGGTGTAAATGGAGGTGCAAATTGTTGTTTGGGAGAAAAGGTAAGGGTGTATAAAGTAGGTGTAAATATAGATTATTAATATTATTATATTTATATTTATAAAATGATACCAAAACAATTAATAAAAAAATATAATCTTCCCCACTTTCCACCCTCCTCGACCCACCACTCAATAAAACAATATCTAAAACTAGACCCCACCTCTCACTAAATACAATAGCAAAATAATAATAAAAAGTCTTCATCTCTCCCCTTCTCCTCTCCATTACGTTTGCACCCCAATTTGGGGGTCACCCCAAATAGTAGTTGTTTGAGCCTAACTGGGTGTAGGAGTGAGGCTCGAGAGAATGGGTCAAGGAGAGTAAGCAATAAGGAACAGCTATGAACGGAAGAACTAAGGAGAGAATGAATAGAGTTGAGAGGGTGATATCTTAGAGAGAGAAGTTTATAATTCGTAGAGATAGAGTCTGAAAAATCCGATCCCCTCACCCACCGGAGTAAATGTCATATTTATAGGCTACATGGTGGTGGGTGAGTTACATGGTGGCATGGTGACATGACTAATGACATGTCAGAAGCATAGGCCACATCCCTACTTAGGAAAAGACCTTTAGCCATGAGCCCATGACTATACCTAGGACTATGATGGTGACTACTCTTTGAGTGACGCGGCGCCGCTTTCATGGTCTCTTGGTCAAGGTCAACATCTGACCAAAGCGTCGTCGTTCGGTGTCCGGGCGCAGCCTCCGGGCACGGTTCTCGCTCGCGTGCCTTACTCTTGCGTGAGCGCCGTTGGGATGTTTCTTTGGCGCGGTGAGATCCGAGTCACATGCCCAACAATTGCCCCCCATCAGGGGGTATTCCGCGAATGCCACCTGTTTGATTTTCGTGCGACTGGCTCGCATCTGCGCGATTCCCGTCTGATTTCCGTGCCATTGATTAGGGTTGGTGTGATCTGGGTGAACTGGCGCCTGTTTGATTTCTGCGCGATCGACTCGGATTTGTGCGATCTTCGTGCGGTTTTCCGTGTTGGTCAGATTCTGTGGCAGCGCCCGTTTGGTTTGAACCTGCGTGATTTGTACGCCATTGAATATTGCCCCCATCAGCGGTATTCCGCGAGTGCCACCCGCTTGATTCGACTCGGATTTGCGCGATCTCCGTGCGGTTTTAAGGGCTGGTCGGATTCTGTGGCGGCGCCCGTTTGGTTTGAACCTGCGTGATTTGCGCGCCATTGATTTTGTTTGCATGATCTGTATGAGATTCCCGGGGTTAGTTGCGCGTGCCGCTTTTTGGTTGAGATTGGGTTTTCGGGAGTGTTTTTTCTCCTTCGTGGGCGTGTCCTGCCCCCAGGCTCTGCGCGGAACTTGTGACGTCAGCGGCTAGTGCCTATGTTAGGTAGGTTGCCACGTGTCTTTGGATGACTAGTCGATTTTGGCGGTCGTTTTGAAATTTGAAAAGAACCTGACAGTTGCGATTCTCAATGCAACTTTAACCTTTCGACTTTCCCTTGTCAAGTATAAATACCCCTTCTTTGTCGGGAGGTTGAAACTCATTCTGCTTGCTTAAAAAAAATTCCTCTCGTTTCTACCTTCGTCCCATCTCCGGGATTCCTCTCCTTCTTCTACAACCTCCAATCTCACTTTGCTGTTGTTGACTTCGAAGTATTATCATGGATAGCACCAACATCAACGAGACCGAGGTCGTGCAGGGCGAAGAAGGTAATCCCTCTTCTTTTTCACATGTTTCCACCGATCCTTCGCTGGATCTGGCCGATTCCGGCTACGGGGACGGCGGCGGAGCCGACGATGACGAGGAGGTTTCGGCGACGCCGTCGTTCGCATTGATTCAGGCAGGAACTCCGATGCGGGAATGTTTGCGTCTGGGAGTGGGCAGGCAGGCACTGGCGCTCGAGGGGTATTGATAATTCGGCGTACTCGCGGCGGTTGATCAGGGGCGGCTAATCCGGAGGCGCGCGAGGGGTCTGATACACAGTCAGAGCCGCACTGTACTGCGTGTGTAACCGAGGTGATGAGCCGCTTGGGATTCCGTGGTGTGGTCGCGGCCTACACCGTCATAGACTGGGCAGAGATGTGGGGTGATCAGCCAGCGCCACATGACAACCTTCTTAGGGGGCCCGATCACGTGTCCATTTACGGGTATCAGGACGTGATGGATATAGTGCGGGGGCTGGGTTTGCCCCCCCAGTTGGGAGTACGCGGCTCCCTCCGCACGCAGCATGGTTGGGAACTGCCCCGCGGGCTGGTTTGGGGTATACACGGAGTATTGGGTGATGGGGTTCAAATTCCCCATCGACCCCTTGCTATGCACGCTGTACAGGCGCCTCAACTGTTCGGTTGGGCGGCTTTCTCCTTCCGTGATAATGCACGCGAGCTGCCTCCGACTCGCGTGCAAAAGGCTCAACATTGAGCCAACTTACGGTTGTTCCGGAAGATTTATAATATTAAGGAGCCAACCAAGAGGAGTGACTGCCTTTCTATCAAGCGCCGCGACAAGAGACCCGACGGCTTTGTGTACGGGTCTCCCAAGTTGAAGAAGACTTGGTTCGTTTTTATGTTAAGCCAACTCCGGGGGAGTGGGCGAGTGAATTTATGGAGGAGCCGACTGTGTGGAAGAAGGGCGGCACACATGGGTATGAATCGGATCTAGGCCATTACGTCGGGCTCAATGATGAGTACGAGGCGTGCATGCTGCAGAAGTTCAACTTATACGCGGACGGAGTCCGCGAGGCTTGTTTACAGGAGCTTTTTACCGATGGTTAGTTGTGCTTCTTTCCTTTTGCATTCTATCATATTAACCGCCCTCTTACGATTTATTGGCGCAGGTGTTGATTTTTCCAACTTGGCGAGTATGATGTCGGTTGATGACATCGTGAAGGCGCCTCGCGCTGGGAAGAAGAAGAGGAAGGAAAGCGCGCAACCAAAGAGCGCGAAGAGAAAAGAGATTGAGCAGCCACTGGTTACAGAGAAGCCCATGAAGACTGCCCGCGTTGCTGAGCAACCTGCGCGAGCGCCGCGACAGCAGCCGCTGATGATGACGGATCCCACAACGCAAGTGGACAAGACCGCTCGTCCGGAGGGGGGCGCGGCAGGTAGCTCATCAGGGGCTAACGTTCAGCAAAAGCTGCCCCAGATGGCCGGTGGCGCCATCGATTACTTCCGCGACGTGCGGATTCATACCGGCGCGGCGTGCAATGTTGCGGCCGCGAATAACGCCATCTGTCGCTGGGACCTGTTCTGAGTGTCCCTACGCGCCTGGAGAAATCTGACCAGCTTCAGGACCTAGCCCAGGTTCATTTCGCGGTAAGATTTGGTTGGACCTCCGCGAAGTACTTGTCCTTTATCCTTTTTGCTAAGTCTTGTGGCGGTGTGAATGCAGGGTTTGTTGGCAACCTTCC